ACCGAGATTGCAAAGAACCATTCTAAGTTCAGACTGGTCATCCACAAAAATGAAATACTCTATACAATTTAGAGTAACTACGGTCTTGGATACGTAATGATATCGTTCCTTACAGTCATGGAATCTCTGTTCGACAATTGCAAATCAACTTTCGGAAGCCTTTGTGAAATGGTGAGCGAATAACCGGACAGTATATATATATGTATTGTAAACTTGATAATTTTCAAGATAACCAATAAAATAACAATAAGAGCAGTCCAAATGAATAAACAATTTACATTTTAACGTCGCCTTGATGTACGATATGTGGAGGCAAGTCTTAACTGTCGTGTCTTTTAATGAAGTAAAAATGAAAAAATAGAAATAAAAAAAATAGACGTCATATATGCAAACCTGGAATATGGTTCAGCGAGCTGATTTTTTTATGTGCCCTAGAAAACTGATTTTGTTATGAAAAAATACTGTAATTGTAGTTTTGTATTTGCACTTGCTGTTGTTGTTTTTGTCTTTTTTACAAACGCCTGTCTTTATGTGTGAAAAGCGGTAGAAGCAGCAGGCACTGAGAGCAATAGAAAACGCACATGTACTTAAAATAAAACTATGTACAAACAAAACAATTTATAGAAAAGAATCAAAATATTATCCTATAATAGAATATTGTCTGATTTTGATAGTAAAGCTATCATGCGATTGTGTGACCATTCAGCTATTGCGTGACTGGTGTGACTTTACGTTCATCATGATAAATGACAGATGRCAATCACAAACAGGCAGYCGGACTAGCGACCGTGCTAGGATACAAGTGCCCTGGGACAAAACCYTCCCCAGGATATCTGTCCGCGTTGTGCGACGAATTTGGACGAGGAGAACTTGGGTGTGTACTTAAAGGACTCATCGGAAAGACTTCCGGTAAAACATGACTTCCGGTGTGACCTGARGAAAATGGCGAAAAGCCAGTYACTGGGACGTGAAACGCGTGTGCCAAGGTCCCGTATGCTTCAGGCGGAGTGCAGCAAGGATTGATGGCATACGGTGGTGWCAAAATCGCTCCCGTGGGGGGAAGGGTGGTGATGCAGGGATGACTGGKCTGCGTTGATATGGTTGTTGTTGGTGATCGAGTACAAGATGGCGACCAATTTGATGTGACCGCTGGRGAAGGGTAGTAGGTTATTGCTGGCTCAGCTGGATGATCACCGATATCTAAATATGACAACACATTACAATGATTTGAGGTAAACCATAATTTCTACATTATGCAGAAGAAGTCGACACATTCTAAAACTTTTTTAGGRTAGTGAGTTTTTTTAAGAGTCACGTGAGATCCCAGAATGCACTTGGATGCGAGTAAGTAAGACCCGTATGGTGCCGTATGTGGGTGGACGATCTTGTCACTCATTCACAGTTGCTCACTTTCCTGTAATTCTTTSAGGTCAGCGTATCTTACCTTCATTTTTAGTCTTGGTCACTTTGCTATCATTGTACGGCACAGGTCTGACCGGAGGTCGGTAAAACGAGTAGACCTGCATCATTTCATCCATGGGATCCCTGTMTCAAAAAATTCTATCAATTATTTCAATGCTTTTGATTTCATTTGATTAAAATACAGGAAGCCCACACGCTTACCTGACACGTCCTGCATCTCGAAAGCCTTTAGCGAATGGATTGCTGTCGATCTTCAYACGTGTGATCTAGAAATACGAAAGTTTGAATTTAAAAATGAACTAAAATGAATAAACGTAGAGAAAAAACGAGTTAAAAAGAGCTTCTCATTCTGCACCATGTTTTCAGCTTTCGCCCTCACCTGAGCTCTGCCCATTTAGTGTTGCGCAACAAAAATTTTGAAATATATATGGACTGTTTTGTGTAAGTGAATTGTGATCGAGTTTTCTAGTCCTGAATATCACGACGTGCATTGTCGAATTGTCATTTCATTTCTTTGAGGACGGAGAACAATACCAAAACGCCACGAAAATGTATCAGTGTGGTCGAGACCTAACGTTTACGTAACATGTCTAATTCCACTGGGTACCGAGAACGATACGAGAACGCTACGAAAACGTACCAGTGTGCCGGCGAAACCTAACGTTATACGTAACGTTCTAAATTACAGTGATGGGGACCGAGAACAATACAAGAACGCTACGAAAACGTATCAGTGTGCCGGCGAGACCTAACGTTATACGTAACGTTCTAAATTCCAATGATGGGGACGGAGAACCATACAAGAACGCTACGAAAACCGCATCAATGCATGAGGCCTCAGGCATCCCACTACTGTTCTCAGAAAATCAATTGAATTTCAAACCACTATCGGTGAATCCATCTTAAACGTCTATCCCACAAACACCAAGTGTTTATATGCTAAAGTAATTAGATGTATCAATTTTTGTTTAATATATGAAGAACTTGAAGTCGGCGAGGTGAAAGAAAACACATCCTCATAGCTGATAAGACATTATGCATGATCACACAGCCCTAATCGACCACACACATTATATAGATTGGAAAAACAGACTTGATGTGCCATACCGCGCCGGTAATAGACTGCACTTCAAGGGAATAGTCATTAAATTTGTGTATAAAACCGTGGAATCCAGTCTAATTGAGTTATTAAATTTCTGTTGTTTGAATCTGGATATCACACTTAAATTWCTACACTTTGTTACATGGTTTGTGAAAACAGATCGTGTTTGTACTACTGGAGACGTTTTTTCTGATCCGTAATAAACTTCAGCGTACAACGCTTTATTGCTCTTTATTTTGTGTGCTTTCTTTTGCGCTTTTTTGGCGTATCATATATTATTAAACTTTAAACAAATCAAACAGGCAATTTTGACAATGTAGCTTTGATGCACGGGTTTATGAAAAACATTCAGCAATGTGTATATTACTTCCTAAAGCGTTGGAAGCTTTCTTACAGCGTTCAGCTTAGTCTCGATTTGTTTTCATTTTTGCAGCGTCTTTGGGACAGCTTTCTAATATTTTCCATTCACATCTAGACGTTTTGTAACCGACAGTACTGAAAAAAGCTATTTATTATAAAACGTCTTATATCACAATGACCTTATGTGAGCTTTTGCAAAAGCTTCTACTGCAAAACAATCGGAAAAAGTTCGGAAAGACGCTCGAGTAGACAAAAAGTCATTCTTATTCGTTTGAACAGAGCTCAAGAAACACTTGATGTTGTGCGTACCTGTTGATTCTGGTAAGCGGTTACTGTAGTAAAGACAGTRTCAGTGAAAGTGAAGGTTTTCCTCTCGGAACAAGGACGTTGAATGTCAACACTTGCYTCTGTTGTGTCTTTCTTCCTGATGATGTGAATTCTTGGCTGATACTTGTGCATTGAATGAAGAATAATCTACAAAAGCAAAATGTTTTAATATTTCGYTAAATCCGCCCGCAGTCAAYTCGCGAGGAATCTGGAATCTGTTAAAATATATTTAAAKWTWTTTTGTTRAATTTGCCAAATGTTACACTAGTTCCATAGAATCATTGTAGAACGTTTGAAGTTTAAAGTTAGTTTAACAGTACAAGTTGTATAAGTACAGAGGTTATGTCTGCCATCTTGGTGTGGCAGAAGTTGCCGAAGTTGAGAATGGCGACTCCATATATTTGTACTACAAAACATGTTCGTTTGTCTATAACTGGCTCTATAGTCAATAAATAACGTTCTGCTCTTAAGTTTTCCGACCAATAGTTCCTTTGGGTTATGCTTACATTAACTAAAGTTTGAAGACTAACTAAATCATCAACGTCATCATAATCTTTCATCATCATCGTCGTCGTCGTCGTTACTTACATGTCCTTGTTGGTCCATTTCATTATTCGTCAATTTCACTTTATCAAACGACACGACTTGACGCATCCATTCTTCACCTAAAGCAGGTGAGTCTGGATGAATGTAGACRCGCCCAGGCATCGGCGCGTCCGCGTTTCCCGCCACAACCCATTTAGAGCTATGATAGGCGTAACGATATCGTTTGTTATCGACTGGTATAACGTCCATCACCAAGATGTAGTGCGCGTTTGGATCGAGTCCTGATAACTTGATTCGAATGGCGGGAAACATTCGTCTATTTCCCCCCAAAAGGAAGAAATGAAACGAAAGAAAGTATTGGTTAAAATTAGTGAAAAATTAATCCCCTTGTGTGATAATCAGCCATTCAGCTAGCGCATAATTTTTATTTAACAGTTTTTTTAGACTTTACCTTCCTGCTTTAGTAATGATCATTTCTGTACCAAGATCATAAAATCTTTGCCACAACTCGCTCATTTGGAGTTCAACACATGCTTCGCTATTTGATTCTTCAGGTTCTGGGACTGAAGGGACACGACTTTGCATCGCTTGAAGACTGCCTAGTGATTGGCTGCTCAGGTCACGTGTGCAATCTAGAACCACAAAACAGATGATTAAAAAGTGGACCTTTTAATACCTTTATGTAGAACGATAACGATAAGACGAAGCCAGATCTCAGCCATTCAATAAACAGGAGTGGACAGCTTTTAAAAGACTCAGAAACTATTTTAGATTAAAACCTTCTACTTTTGCGACTTTTTTACATACTTATAGAAAGAAATAAAGAAAAAGAATGGAAGGAAAGAAGGGAAATGGAAAAAATCGCTGGAGCAAATTTTCAAGGCTCATAAACTTGGCAAATAGTTCTGTCACTGATCTACTTTCGTTATTCGACCTTAAAAGACTTCAGTGGTTAAGTGACTACACAAAAAGTTTCCTAATGGAGTTTTCTTTCCCTTTTAGAAACAGTTTAGCCTGAACATGCCTAGCCGCGATAAAACTGAGTAAATAGTTAAGTTCCGGCGTCACACTACAAATGTTTTAAATATCTGTAAAAATATTTTGACAGCAGCTCGAAAGCGAAATACTTTAATTCTTCCTAATTTCTTGGTATATGAAACATAGTGATTCTAAACTTGGAAA